AACAAGATGCAGAATAAAAGGAAGGGGTGGGAATGGAAGGAAATAGAATACATGATATTGCGTGTAAAGATAAATACTCCTAATCACTTAAACAATTAAATTATAATTGTGTTTTTCTCTTGTCATAAAATGAGCGGAAATTCAAACATAACACGTCTTCCAACATTGAAACAATAATCACCCCAAATATTCGTGGAATGATTGTGGGTATTGGGCCAACCAGGAAATTATCAGAAAAATCTACCCTTTTGCATGACCAGATAAAGAGGCCTTTTGTCCCGTTCTCCCTTTAGGCCCAGTTTTCCAAACTTCTCAACTCTAAGAAAATTGGACCCAATATCAATTTCTCATTCGATTTAGGTCCCATAAATGTTTTTCATTAAATTAAGGCCCAACAACTTCGGTCTTCGTGGTGCGCTTAGTAGTTCTCGGATATCATAAACAAAAAATAAAAACGATGTGCGGCTATACTATTATTATTTTTTAAATTTAAAAATTGAAAATTTTTACTAGTATAGACCTGTGTCGATGAACTTTCGATAATACATCCATATTTTTCAATAATGTATTATACACGTACATACGTATTTTTAATAATATATATTATACATGTACGTATTTTTTAATAATACATTCATATTCTGCAAACGTCTTAAAGACTCGGTAAAGTTCACGTTGTTTAAAATTGATTTATTGTGAAATTTCTCTCCCTTCAATATGTGCTTTGGATGTTGAAACTAGCAAATTAATATATATAAATAGTATAGCCGGCCGGCTATACTCGATTTTTTCCTAAATTTAGACAGTATAGCCGCCCGGCTATACTTGTTTTCCCTAATTTTTTAAAATAGTACAGCCGCGTGGCTTACATTTTTGACACGTGGCGCCTAGGCGCTGGGTGGGTCTTTATACATATAATAGCCACGCGGCTATATCCCTTTTTTAAAAATTGTATAGCCGGGCGGCTGTACGCGGTTTTATGAATGTTTCTTTAAAAATAGTACAGCCGTCCGGCTATACCTATTTTGACACTCCGGCACCTAATCGCTAGTCTGGTCCGCTTTTTTTTTACATAAATAGTATAGCCACATTTTTTCCTATCCCACAATTATTAGAACGGAACAGCAAGGGCAAAATAGGTAACGTGAAAGATTGATCCATCGAAGAGCCCTCACATATTTTTGTACTCTTCACGTACGCCTTTTTCCCCTCTCCAGTCTTACATTGCTGCCTTCCTCAACTCCTCCATCCAAAAAATTATAAAGAGATCCGAGGAGTTTGGGAAACCCTAACCCTAAACACAATCCACAGCCCGCTATTAAAACTTCCCACTTCGTTGAACTCTCACTGCCGCTTTCAGGTTCGCTCTCGTCTTTTGTTCAGTTTATAATCTATTTAAGCTCTTGTTGAATGCATAAACATTTTCAAGCTGTGGTTAGCGATTTATTCGTTCTGGGCAGATCGATTACTTGTGGGGTTTTGTTTGGTTCCTGTGAAAGTTCTGAAAACAATGTCAAAAAGTTGTTCAAAACTTGAAAGTCTTAATCTTTGGTTCATTGTGTGGTGACTTATTGCTTTTGTAATGCAGAAGTATTCTTCATTTGAATTTTGTAAACTGTGGTAACCAATTTTTTATTATATATGTTTCTGATTTCAGTCTGATGAGTTTTTGATTGTATGAACTTAGTCATCTGGGTGAGGATACCATGATCTGGGCAGGGAAGGATTAGGCTTTTGATTTTCCAAGAGTTCCCATAAGAAAGTCTCATAGAAAAAGATGTTCACATAAAAATAGTCAAGATTGAGCATTTTTGTTGTTGAAAAAAATTATTGCATAAAAGATGCACCTTCATTTTTAAAATACTGGTTAACAGTTTGAATATCAGTTATAATCTTACTGCGTAAACCAAGATTACCTTAATTAGATGAGTTATAATTATAAATGTGATATCTTTTGGTTGATATTTTCAGTTATGGCTGCTGTGGCACCGGAAGGATCCCAATTTGATGCTCGTCAGTATGATGCTAAAATGAGTGAGTTGTAAGTTTTATTTTTGTCCTCTCTCTCTCTCTCTCTTATAGTCTTCTTTGATTCACATATTCAGAATTTTGCATGTGGTGCATATTTGTATTGCCAATGATAAAGAAGTTAATCTTGTTTTAATTTACTGATGGGAGCAGACTTGGAGCTGATGGACAAGAATTCTTCACATCATATGATGAGGTTCATGACAGCTTTGATGCTATGGGATTGCAGGAGAACCTTCTTAGGGGCATTTATGCATATGGTAAATTAAATAATGCTGCACTTTTTTTTTCTTTTTGACTTTTTGAAACTTGTTTCTGGGAAATTATTGGCAAGGTGTGCCTGATCGGATGATTTTAGTTTCAAGCATTTTAGGAAGATTCAAGGTTATAACTCCATTTTGCATATAGAGTATATTGAGGTTTTCTGACAATTTTGTTGTGCGTGTGTTTTTTTAGATAACAGAAAACGAAGAATTGGTGTAATAGTTTAGGTTGTGACTTTTAAGACTGTCACTTGAAGTAAAATCCTACACCATTTAACGTCATGGCCACTGCCTCTTCTCTATTTTATATATATATATTATATGTCTTTATATGCATGTTTGATGGTATATGCTATGAATGTAAGTCATCCTTGTGGTAAATTGAAAAGCTGATTTGCAGTCCAAACTTTTTTTGTGTGTGAAGGTTTTGAGAAGCCCTCTGCAATTCAGCAAAGGGGAATTGTTCCTTTCTGCAAGGGACTTGATGTGATTCAACAGGCACAGTCTGGAACTGGAAAAACTGCGACTTTCTGCTCTGGAATTCTGCAGCAGCTTGATTATGCCTTACCTGATTGCCAGGCATTGGTTCTTGCACCCACACGAGAACTTGCTCAACAGATTGAGAAGGTTATGCGAGCACTGGGGGACTATCTTGGTGTCAAGGTTCATGCTTGTGTTGGCGGGACCAGTGTTCGTGAAGATCAACGCATTCTCTCCAGTGGGGTCCATGTCGTTGTTGGTACACCTGGTCGTGTATTTGACATGTTACGGAGACAGTCTCTTCGTCCAGATTACATTAAGATGTTTGTCTTAGATGAAGCAGATGAAATGCTTTCACGAGGTTTCAAGGATCAGGTCCAGAATTTCATTTTTATATTTATTATTTTTTTCTTCAGTAGCTGATACTTCTTACTACAAAAAATGAGTTTCATGATGCTCACTGTTACCCGGGTTTGGCATTCAATTATGTGACCTGTGTTTGTAGTGCTTTGTGTAATTCTGTTTTAGCATAAGTTGAATGCTTGGCCTTCTAGGCTGAATTTGCAACTCCTACATTTAGAGATAAGTTTGAAGGAATTCAAAATTTCCGTTTAGTTTACATGCTATTTGGTCTAGTTGTTTATTGTACTAACAACCTCGGTTCATATTTTCAGATCTATGACATTTTCCAGCTGCTACCATCGAAAATTCAGGTCGGGGTTTTCTCTGCCACAATGCCACCGGAGGCCCTTGACATCACTAGGAAGTTCATGAATAAACCTGTGAGGATTTTGGTGAAACGTGATGAGCTCACCCTTGAGGGTATCAAGCAATTCCATGTCAATGTTGATAAAGAGGAATGGAAACTTGAGACACTTTGTGATCTTTATGAGACCTTGGCAATTACTCAGAGTGTCATCTTTGTGAACACCAGGCGCAAAGTTGATTGGCTCACTGACAAGATGCGCAGCCGCGATCACACAGTCTCTGCCACCCATGGAGACATGGACCAAAACACAAGAGACATTATCATGAGAGAGTTTCGGTCTGGTTCTTCTCGTGTGCTCATAACAACTGATCTCTTGGCCCGTGGTATTGATGTCCAGCAGGTCTCTCTAGTGATTAATTTTGATCTTCCAACACAACCAGAAAACTACCTCCACCGCATTGGTCGTAGTGGTCGTTTCGGGAGGAAGGGTGTTGCCATCAATTTTGTGACCAAGGATGACGACAGGATGTTGTTTGACATCCAGAAGTTTTATAATGTTGTGATTGAGGAGCTGCCGGCAAATGTTGCTGATCTGCTTTAAATAAGGTTTTGCTTTGGTGCGGTAATTGGCTTCTAATTTGGAAGCCATATTTATTTTCTTCCTTGTAGGTGTAGGGGCCATTATTTAGCATGGATCACTTGAAAAATTGGGTATGGACCTGTGCATAAGAGGCGGGTTTCCATTCCCATTTTTCAGGTGTGCAAAAACCACATGAAAATTTTGTTGCATTTCTTTTATTTCTAGTATGTGAGACAACTTGCAGAAGTAACTGTGTTTGGATTGATTTATTCAAAGTTTGGTTTTGAGATGGAATATTATGTTTGGAGTCATGGAAGTTTCTCGTTTGGTTAAAGAAATGCAGATACTGCACTTGGGGATAACTTTTCAATAATCAAAGAAGAGAAGAATAAGTTCTATCCTTGTTTCGACAAAAGTCCTCAGGAAAAAAGAATAAGAGAAACGAATATAAATTTAAAAGATAAGGAAAGAAGAAAAAGATGAAAGATGGTTTAGATTCCCTCATAACAAATTATTGTTGACAACCCTTGGGACAAAAGTGTTTGCTAAGGACCTATGAACTCACGTGCATACTTGAGATTCAGACCTCTTTTACCGTGCTGTTAATTGTATCTTCTTTGATGACGACTTTGGTAATTACCGTTTTAATGTAAAGTGGAACTCACAATACAAATTTGAAATTACTTCCTAGCAAGACACATTCAAACTTGAACACAACCGTTGGATTGATAGAATGGTTTTTCTCAAAAAGAAAAAAATAAAAAAGACCCTTTATGGGCTCAAGAGCAAAAGTGCATCCTTTATAGTTTCTGAAGACCTAAAAATTGTTTTTTTTTTTTTAATTTATAAAAATTAATCTTCCGTAGACAACATGATTCCCCACGAAACACGCCATCTAGAATCACTCATAAGGTCAGGTCAGCCTTGCTGCCTTAGAAATAAGAACTTTCAAAACAAAACAACACAAGCCAGAGCAAATTGAGCAATTTCTCGTGTTGGACCCCACACCTCTCTGCTTCCTCGTTTGTTTTCTTCTTGGTCTGTCAAGATCTGTTGGCCCTGCAAAACAAACCCGTCAAACGGTTCTAAACTCTCTGCCAAAATCCCATGGAAGACTACAGCAGATCAAAGTCATATGGCACTGGCAGTGGGACGATGCAGATGGAAAACTACTATGGACCTCCAAGACCACCTACTTCCTATGAGCTAAGGAGCTACAGTGTTTCTTATTCACAAACCCAGATGGCTAATAACAATAACAGGGACTTCAAGTTGAAGAAGGGAAAAAGCACTTCTGGGTCGTCCTCGAAGTCTAATTGGGGTCTCATGGACCCTGAGTTGCAGAGGAAGAAGAGGGTTGCTAGCTACAAAATGTACTCTGTGGAGGGCAAGATGAAGGGCTCCTTCAGGAAAAGCTTCAGGTGGCTTAAAGATAAGTGCACCCAAGTGGTTTATGGATGGTGGTGATTGGGATTTGGTGGGTACTGTTTAGTTTTGCTCTATAATTATTTGTAAGTCTTGAGAGAAAGTCTTGAATTTTGTGTATTGTGGATTTATGGTTGTGATCATGAAAAAAAAAACCCCATGAATTGGGTTGTTGCAAATAGACTGAATTGTAAATTGGGTAAAGTACTGTCACTGGTTTTGAATCAAGTTATCTCCTTTCATAAGAATTCATGCCGGTTTCATTCAAAGCTCTGAGCTTGAAGGTTGTGCTCACTAAATTAGATATGGAGTTTGATTCTCTATTGATGTTTAAAAATTTCCCTTCCTTTTCATATTTCAGCTTTTTTTGTAAGCTTTAATTTGCACCCTGTAATCTAAGAGTTGCTCTGGTCTGGATGCGCTCACTCATCTCGTAGTGTTAGAAATCTTCACCTATTCATCATTTTCTTGTAAATAGATTTGGTCACCAATATCATGTATCTTAATCGAACTTTATCTTCCCCCAAATTGGTAAACTGAAATGGTTCTTCATACCACGCCTATGTAGCAGCATTGTAAACAACAATCTTGTGTGATCACTACACCAAAGTCATTCATGGCTGTTCATAATCTTTGGTGTCAATAGGTTGAGATGATTTTATGAACTAGCTAGTCAGTGAATGGGGAACAGAGGGAAGCTTATAATTGGCTGGAATGTTGTAAGAAGCTATGCCAAATTTTTAATGAATTTCTAGCAACCCATGTGCTTGTAATTTCCTTTACAATAAATATATGGGGCAACATTGGTGGAAGAACTGCTTTGCCCATCCATATTTTTTGTTTGTTTTCAACAGCACAAAAAACCCCATTGTTAAATAACAGAGCTGGAAACATAATCTGAATTTTTTGAATTAGACGTTAGTTAAATCATTTCACCCAGACAAAGCAAAATTATATCTACGAAGTCTTTTGGTTTTTAATGTTCCCCTAAAAACAAAGACTGCAAACTCTATTTGCACTTGGAAGCAAGAGAACGTATCCCTTTTTCTTTTGGGATAACTTTTACTTGAATTATGCTCAGATGCTCAGACCAAATTGCTTATTTTTTATGCCATGTCCATTTTTATCTCAGCATTGACAATGCCACTCCAAGAAAAGTAAATTATTAAATAGGAATTCTTTAGTAAGGGTTATGGAAACAGTTGACTTACTTACTTTGCGTGGGGTGCAAGTGGATTTGGCTGAGTATATATAGCACAGTTCATATCTTTATATCAGCATCTGCATACTAAGTCCGACTTCTAAAAATTCCCAGTCAAATTGTCTCATTCATTTGCAGTACGTGCATATCTGGTCTGGACATTGAAGGTAACAGCCAAATTGTTTCATATCCTTTTCTTTCTTCCTTTTTCGTAAGACATAGGCTTTTATAAATTTGTTGATATGTTGGTTATCAACTTCATCTTGAACTTACTAAAACCCACCGTTTTATGCATCCCATTAGTGTATAATGTGTTTCAGTTAAACCTTTTGTATGAACATCAGGCAAGGCCAACACTATGGAGGAATTGGAAGTTAATTGTATGCAAATGGCTCCGTTACTTGAAAGCGAAGGAGACAACAATAGGTTGCCAGAAGTTGGTGGGCTTATAAAGGATGCTGCTGCTGAAGAGCTAAATCTAAAAGCCAGAATTGAAGAGGCTGAGAAGCTGCTTGCAAAGATCAGGCAAGATAAGCTTGAGCTGGCTGAAGACATAGCGCAAAGGGTGGTATGTTAAAATGGTCTGCAATATGCACGAATATATGCGACCGCATTTCCTAATTCTTAGCTGCTGTGGTAGTCTCAACTTCAATTATCAAATAACATGATCATGAATGAAAATCTGAAACATCTTTTTGAAAACTATGTCAACAGTGTGATCGAAGATGTACCCTTCTTCCTCGGTTGAACTGCTTAATTAGGTATGGAAGGGGACTCGAATACTGCTTGACCCTGGAGAGGGAGAAAATGAATATATTGCAACTATTTCTGCTTCGTTTTACAGAGAAAGCTAACCAAAGAAAACCAATTCAGCCCTGCTTGCCAGGAGAAGAGATAGCTAAACGTGTATATATTTGTTTTCTGATTGTTTCTTGATTATTTCTTTTTTTCTTTCCATTAAGCCTTTTTGAGTTTGTTGGAAATGTGGACATGGGTTCAGAAATTGAATTTCAGGATGGGACACGGAACCAAAAGTTTGGCCAAGGAAAAACAGCTTCTGAAACAGATCAATGTGAGCCAGAAGGAGGGTGTTTGTTTATTTTCCTCACTTGAAGAGGAATATCATATGCTTCCTGAATATGTAAGATTAAACATTAAAGTTTGCTTAGAGTTAGTCATTTATACCCTGTACGTTTTCTTATTCTGTGGTTTTTTTTTTCTTTTTCCTTTGGACGGTTGAAACAGTATTCATGGCGGCATTACGAGAGACGGTATCAGACCAATCAGAGAAATATAGTTCAATACCGCCTAAGACAAATCCAACAACTTAAATGGCAAAGGGAAAGTTTGGCAGTTCTATTGCAAGGGCAATGGGATGAAGCTATTGCTAATGCTAGTGGGAATGCTAATGCTAATGCCAATTCTGCTGCCAATGCTGCTGCCAATGCTATTGCCAAGGGAAACATTTGGGATTCTTTGGGTTCAAAAAAGTCCTTACTGGAACAAATCAAAGTCACGCACAAAATTCTAACTCATCAAATAGAGTAGGGGAGTTTTATCACACACAATTCTAACTCTTTTTTTCTTCCTGTTATAATGTTTGCAGGTTACTGGTAAGGCGATAGATGGATTAACTAAATTACTGTTGGCTGTGCGGCCAAAAATTAACCAAGTTGAGAATGAATTGAAGGTCGCTGAGAAAGAAATAGAGACCTTGCAGAAAAAACTACCATGGATTGATCAGAAGAAAGATGAAGCACACCAATGCATTCACAAACTGAAAAAACAAGAGTGAGGAGATATGATGAGTTAGTTTAGTTAAACACAGTTGGTGTGTTTAACAAGACTTGGCCACTTGGCAGTCAGTCAGCGAGTCCTTGCAAGTTGAGGAACTCCACCCACCAAATACCAAACCACATATTCATTACCACAACAAGAAAATGAGATCGCAATTAGCTCTAAAAGAAAAAATGAGTGGAATAAAAGATTCAACATCAATATTGCGCAATTGTAGAATAACTGTTATTATTTCTTATCGTGTTTCAAACGGCATTTAGCTTTATTATGGTATTTACTGAAATCAAAATTCTTCCTCCTCTCTATTTCAAGCTCAAGGCACTCCTCTTTTTACTCATTTGGCCTTTCTTCAATCTTCCATTCATTTTCGTCTTTACTGTTCGGATGATGCAGAGTCGCTGCCTGAATAACTATATCTACGAAGTCTTTTGGTTTTTAGTGTTCCCCACTAGAACCAAAAACTGCAAACTCTATTAGCACTTGGAAGCAAGAGAACCCATCCGTTTTTTCCTTTTAGAAAACTTTTACTTGAATTATGCTCAGACCAAATTTTGCTTATTCTAAAATGCCACGTCCGTTTTCTCGGCTTTGACAATGCCACCGAGAAAAGTATATTTATTTTGTCAAATTTTTCGATGTAGGTCTTTATTTTTTATTTTTTGAGAAATGAAATTCATTTATAGAATCAAAGTAGCGTACATAGAACAACACGAAACAGTGGCCTCGTTAAAACCTTCATGAGGGACAAACCTTAGGGTAGGAAAGAGTACCACACATGTCATAGACCAATGCTAGAGCAATATAAAATAAAACATCAAACTGACACATACACCTTTGACGCAAAGACCTCTGATGAGAACACTACAACACAATCCAATTGTCAAAAAAGTCATGCTATGAAATCATAATCTTTTGCACAGCCACAAGACAGTGAGAACTTCCAACAGAGAACACAATACGCCAAGAAGAAAGAAAACAACCACTAAGCACACCATCTCCAGCCACCTCTAATAGCAATTGATGATGAAAGAAGAGAAATCTGCAAGGAGTAACACAAAGAATAGACTAACTGCAAATAGGCCTGGAAAGAAAATAAATATAAAAAAAGCCCCCAAGCACGCCGTATCATCTCAACACTGACAAAGAGACCTCTTATGAAAACGTAGTCCTTGAGACAGACGGAGAATCAAAGATCAAGGGGAGAACAAAGAAAACACCATGCAACAATGACAAAGCTGGCCTACCCACTTAACCTGGCCCAACACGCCAAATCTTTGGACATCGGCTATCTTTGTTAAATTTTAGTGAGACGGGCCAGCGGCCCACTACTAGCGACACCGATATTGTCCCCAACTTAACCACCTACAAAGCCAAGTAGGTGTGGGGTTTTATCACAAAAGGTCTCGGTAATATTAGTAGTTGAACAATTCATTATATATTGTAATTTATTTAATCAAGTTTCCGACGTGTGACTTATATTCTTCAACACACCCCCTTATGTGGGACCACCACATAGTAGGTCACACGTGGAGCCAAGTTCACATCGAAATCAATCATTTAAGCCCAACATGTGAACACCACGTATTGGGTAAGAGATAAGGGTAGAGGTAAACATTCAAGCCCAAAATATGAAGGCCACATATTGGGTAAGGGTAAAGGCCCAATTTAGGCCCAATCAATCAACCCGCTCTAATACCATGTTAAATTTCAGATAAACGGGTTAGCGGCCCACTATTAGCAACACCGATATTGTCCATAACTTAACTACCTACGAAGCCCAGTAGGTGTGAGGTTTTATCACAAAAAGTCTTCGTGATATTAGTAGTGGAATCATTCATTATATAATTTATTTTATTTAGTCAAGTTTCCGATGTGAGACTTATGTTCTTCACAGTCTTCTCCTGAAGGTAAGGCTTGAGATCGCAAAACAGACAATGGATGGGGCGTGAGGAAAGCCACCTCTACCGTGACCACCGACCCCCGCGAAGGAGCTTGCACCATGATTGTTGTTGACTTGGAGACTATCGCCACAATAGCAAGAGCAAACCGGTTGAAACCACCATACCAAGGCAACCACCATTGAGGCCGATGCCCTGAAGAGCAAGAGAACGACGAAACCAACGCTCAGGATCTGAGAGAGACAACAACAAGGCCAGCACCCCAGAGTTGAAGAGAGGAGTGACGTCATTAACTCGACGTGGAAGAAAAACGGCAACAACTCGACCTAGAAGAAAAGTGACACGACGATGTCAAGGCAAGGAGGGCGATGATGGCGGCTGAACGTGGATGAAAATGAGCATGGTTAGGCCCAAGGAAGGGATGACGGCTGAATGTGAAAAACCTAAACACTAATATTTGACGCACGGCTCTCCTCGCGTAGCGAGAGAGCGACCAAGTGGCCAATTCATTCTTATGTTTTCCGATGTTGATCTTTATATTCTTCAACAAATACTAGGCTTAAATCCAATGGCGGAACCATAAATTTATTTAGGGCATGGCTAAATTTTTTTTTCTTGGCTTCTTCTATAATATAATATATATATATATATAAAGTAAAAGGCAGAGAATGGTGAAACATTCAAAATACCAGAAAATGCCATTAATTAATGCAAACATTAAGAATTGAAATTATTAATTAAATGAGGATAATATGGTAAATTCACACTTTTTTATATTAAAAATTTTAAAATTAAAAGAAAAATTAGATAATGGTTCCTATTTTTTTTGTAACACAACTACCCATTATTATTTTTAATTCTAAAATAAATTAAATTTTTTTTTTAAAAAAGCCTCTGGCAGGCGCAGAAGCGCATGCGGAGAGGCTAGTATATAATAGTTCAAATTGTCTAGATTTTTTTTTGGTAGGGGGCTAAAGTCTGAAAATAGCATAACTAAATGCAAACAAGGCCTATAAACTAGTTAAATTTAGAAATTCTTTTTTCAAACATTAACATAAATAAGTACAACCAAACCGAAAAAAAACATAAATCAGTAGAACTAAAAATTGGAGCCAATGTTCAATTAAAAAAAAATTGGAGCCAATTTTTTAACAAACAAACAACAAATGAGTAAAGATTAAAAAAACAAAAAAAAAACTTGTGAAGAGGTAATACCTCATACTGCATGCAGATTGGGGAAGATTCAGAGCTTGGTACCATTAATTTAATGATGTTCTAATATATTAATGTTGTATTTGAGTTTGACTAATGACAAACAATAATGGAGCAGTCAAAAAAGTGTAAGTTGTGCTATTTTAATGTTTTACTTTTCCTTTTTTAATCTTTTTGTAAGTTATGTTTGTATGGTCTTGTCCCTTTCCGGGGCTAGAAAAAAAAAAGCGCTATGTGTTAGGGGTGGGCATTAAGAACGGAAAACCAGAACATCGAGCCACACCGGATGGAAAAAAACCCGAAAAAAATGGTTTTGACTAAAAATTTAAAAAATTAGCATTGAACCGATTCAAATTGATTTCGGTGCCGATTTCACACCTGATAAAACTGCATTAGATCCAACTGGACCGAATTGACTGTGCATTTTTAAATAAATAAAAAAAATTATTTAAGTCAAATGCTAAATTTCTAATCCCATAACTAATATTTCCCTAAGCCCAACTTCAAAGCATCTTTTTTTTCTATGCCCAATCATCGCTCTTTGCATGAAATTGGATCATTCGTGAATTTTTTAGCCCAAAAAATAAAATTCTAGTTGGAATTTGTAAAATTTCTTTTAACAATATCCAATCTGAAATCGAAAAAACCGAAAACAGCACTAGAACAGGTTTAAACTGGACTGGCCGGTTTCATAAATTTTTTTCACCAAAATTGAACTGCACCGCACCAATTGAATAGTACCAGTTTCAATTCCAATGTAAGGTGGAGACCGGACCGGACCTCACCCACCCCTACTATGTGTGGCTATGAGGTAATAGGCTAATATTTAATTGTACTGTTTTATTTATTTATTTTATTTTATACATTAAGAGTAGAACTCAGCACCAAGTTAAAGCCCAATACAATCTCTTGGTAGTTCTGCCCTTGCTTGAATCCCTATTGCGGATAGACCCTTTTCTCTGACAAAGCAAAACTATATCTATCTAGGGAGTTTTTGGTTTTTAATGTTCCCCTATAAACAAAAACAAAAACTCTGTTTGCACTTGGAAGCAAGAGAACATATCCGTTTTTTCTTTTTAGAAAACTTATACTTGAATTATGCTCAGATGCTCACACCAAATTGTATATTTTCTAATGCCACGTCCATTTTCTCAGCTTTGACAATGCCACCCCAAGAAAAAGAAATTATTGAATAGGAATTCTATAATAAGGGTTTTGGAATCAGTTGAGTTGACTTACTTAATTTGCGTGGGGTGCAAGTGGATTTGGATGAATATATAGAGCGCACAGTTCATATCCTCATATCAGCATCTGCAAACTAAGTCAGACTTATAAAATTCCCAGTCAAATTGTCTCATTCATTTGTAGTACCTGAATATCTGGTCTGCACATTGAAGGTAACAACCAAATTGTTTCATATCCTTTTCTTTCTTCCTTTTTGGAACCACATAGTCTTCTATAAATTTTTTGCTAAAAGCCACAATTTTTATGCATCCCATTAGTGTATAATGTGTTTCAGTTATACCATTTGTATGAACATCAGGCAAAGCTAGCCAACACTATATGGAGGAATTGGAAGCTAATTCTACACAAATGGCTCCGGTACCTGAAAGCGCAGGAGACAACAATCGGTTGCAAGAAGTTTCTGGGCTTATAAAGGATGCTGCTGATGAAGAGCTAAATCTGAAAGCCAGAATTGAAGGGGCTGAGAAGCTGCTTGCAAAGACCAGGCAAGATAAACTTGAGCTAACTGAAGGCATAGCGCAAAGGGTGGTATGTTAAAATGGTCTGCAATCTGCATGAATATATGTGACTGCATTTCCTAATTCTTAGCTACTGTGATAGTCTCAACTTCAATTATCAAACAAACATGATCATGAATGAAAATTGCCACATCTTTATGAAAACTATGTCAACAGTGTGATCGGAGCTCTACCCTTCTTCCTCGGTTGGAAAACTTAAATTGGCATGAAACAGAACTCGGATACTTCTTGGCCCGGGAGAGGAAGAAAATGAATATATTGCAACTATTTCTGCTTGGTTTCGCAAACAAAGCTCACCAAGGAAAACCAATTAAGCCCTGCTTGCCAGGAGAAGAGATAGCTAAACATGTACGTTGTTTTCTGATTGTTTCTTGATTATTTCGTTTCTTTTTCACTTAGCCCTTTTGAGTTTGTTAGAAATGCGGACATGGTTTCAGAAATTGAATTTCCGGATGGGACATGGAACCAACAGTTTGGCTGAGGAAAAACAGCTTCTAAAACAGATCATTGTGAGCCCGAAGGAGATCTATGTGAGCCCGAAGGAGGGTGTTGGTTCATTTTCCTCATTGGAAAATGAATATTATGTGCTTTCTAAAAGTGTAAGATTAAACATTAAAGATTAAGTTTGCTTAGAGTTAGTCATTTATTATACCCTGTAGGCTGTATGTTTTCTTATTCTTTGGATATATATATATATATATATATATTTTTTTTCCTTTTGGACTGTTGAAACAGAGTTGGTGGTTGATTCAGAGACTATATCATACAACTCAGAGAAAAATAGTTCAATACCACCTAAGACAAATCCACCAACTTAAATGGCGAAGGGAGAGTTTGGCAGTTCTATTGCTAAGGCAATGGGATGAACTTATTGCTGCTGCCAATGCTGCTGCCAAGGGAAAGATTTGGGATTTTTTGGGTTCAAAAAAGTCCTTACTGGAACAAATCAAAGTAACACACAAAATTCTAACTCATCAGATAGTAGGGGAGTTTGAATTGTTTTCTTTAACTTGCTGATTATTTGCTGTTATAAATATTTGCAGAAAACTGTTAAGGAGATAGATGGATTAACTGAATTACTATTGGCTGTGCGGCAAAAAATTAAGCAAGTTGAGAAAGAACTGAAGGTCATTGAGAAAGATATAGAGTCCTTGCAGCAAAAACTGCAATCGATGGATCAGAGGAAGGGTGAAGCACACCAATGCATTCTCAAACAGAGAAAACAACTTTTGACCAAAAAGAAAAAAACAGAGAAAACAACTGAGTGATGAGACATTGTTAGTACGAAATTTGTATTGTCATTTCCTAGACTTGTTTACTGGATGTTTTGGCACAACTCATTCAACCCCATACATCCGAGGCATGACTTGACCGATATGAGAAACTTGACTTCAGGTAAATCATGACATAATCATGCATTCATTATAGGATTCCTAGTTGGAGTTTTTTTTCACTCAAAGTATTTTTATCTTAATCTTATTTTTAATAGGATTAGATTTTATCTCTTGAGATTACTTTCCTAGTTGGACTCTATTTTGATTTAAGTTAAAATACTATTTTTCATCCTTGACTTGAAAAGGACATTTCATTGATACCTATTTGATCTCTTTGATAAAGATTGTTATCTTGAATAACAATCCTTGCATAAGTTGACGAATTATATAGTATTAGTGGTCTCAATGGTTTTTGATGTTCTTCATTTTGTGCCCATATTGATTCACAACAAATAGTCATAGTTGAATAGCTTAATTGGGTGTTCATATTACATCAGGTTAGAAGTCTTAGTTGAATGGGTCTTATAGTTGCATTGGAAGTGTAGTGACGTGGGGTTTCTCTCCAGGTAGAGAAACTGGCTTTGAATAAAAAGGATTGTTGTTCCTTTTCATCATGAGCTTTTTTCAACGCATGAGTTTTTGAATATATTGAATCTGTTTTTGTGAAAGCTGTAGTTCTTATTTTTCTTAGACAAAATCATCAAGTGTTCCTTGTCTACTTTGTGATTTATCAAATCCTTTCATCATTCATATTGCATTCATATGCATGTCGGTGACTCATACGGTTGAGGGCACCAAGACCGTGGTGGCGGTTTTCCTCCGGTGAGCTTGAAGCAATCGTGGCCAGTATTGCGTTCAACATAAGGAGTGTCGAAGATCATCCCGTGACAGAAGTTGAGTTACGAAGAAGTCGGTAAACATTATCTAGAATGTGTCTAGGATAAGTGTGTGAGTACTTCTTGTAATCATCGTTCTATAGTGGATTTGTGTTGGACTGAGGAGTCCCGTGGATTTTCCCCAGAGGTGGGGTTTTACCACGTAAAATAATTCTCTGCGTGTTCTTTTATTTTCTGCCCAGCACGTTACAGGATTGATAAGCCATATCAATCCTGCTACCGAAGTTTATTTTTATTTATTTGATTAGAATCTTAAATTGGCCTATTCACCCTCCTCTAGGCATTTTGAGTCATCCTGCAGGTATTCTCAGACATGATGAGTTTATTTGGTGTGTTAAACGTTAATGAGAACAAGACTTTGCCACTTGGTAGTTGACAAGTCCTCATCTCAAGATGAGGAACTCCACCCACCAAATACCAAACTACAATGTCATCGTAAGAGATTCGATTCGAGCCCTTACATTTAGAGATTATGTATTTAATGTAATTTTGCAATGTACAATTATTCTAAAGGTATTACGAATTATGTTTTTTTTGCTTATCTACAAAAAGGGAGATTCGAAGTTGAAATTTCTTATGTGTCCTTGATACATGTGTGACCAGATAAATATTATATTTGATAACATACTGTGTATCGTTAAAACAAAAACAAAATATTAGTGATTTTTTTTTTTTTTTTGCCCATCATGCTTCAAACGACATGTAGCTTTATTATGGTATTTAGTACTGAAATCAAGATTTCCGCGCGCATCTTTAATTAATTCTTTATGCCTTGGCGTTTGCCAGAGCTGTTTTGCTGTCATGTCCCAAAAGTAAATATCTTTTTTAATGTCAGCACCCAAACCAACAGAGTAACGTGAGGCCGCAAGCAACAAACCCCAAGCACCCAGAAAGCAACAGCCTTTTTTGTTCCCCAATAATCAAGATTTCAACTTTTTTGTTTTTTGTTTGAAATTTTTTAATTTTTGAGAGAGAGGGATCATGTGGGAGTCGATCTTTCTAACGCTGGCGGCGACGGCCGGAAACAATATCGGAAAAATTCTTCAGAAGAAGGGCACCGTCATTCTTCCTCCTCTCTCTTTCAAGCTCAAGGTACTCCTCTTTTTAACCTTTTGCCCTTTCTGCATTTCTGTTATTACTTTCATTCATTTTCGTCTTTGATTCTTCGATTGTTATTCAAATCCCAATTATCAGACACAGATACACAGACTGTGTGCTTTGAATTTATGGAATTGAATTGGGTCCAATTCCAGGGCTTTTGTTTAATTTCCTTGTAACCCAATTTCTGGGTTGCATGATAAAGCATTGAACGAATTACTAATGGCGTGGGCTCATGCGTGTGTGTTTGTAGGTGATCAGGGCGTATGCTTTGAACAGAGCTTGGTTGATAGGTTTTCTGATGGATATATTTGGAGCCTTGCTCATGTTGAGAGCATTATCTCTTGCTCCTGTAAGTGCCTCAACTCCAAGCTAATTTTTTTTATTTTTTTATTTTTTATATTTATAAATTTAAATTTTGTTCCTCATATTTTCATTTTCATTGACATTCAATTTGTTTACCCATTTGTTTGGGTCTAATTTTGACGTTTACAGTTTGTGCTAAAGTTATTTCAATTGGTGATTAAATTTGATTGCGCCATTATATGCCTTTTTACAGGTATCTGTCATACAACCCGTTTCTGGGTGTGGACTTGCCATTCTTTCAATCTTTTCCCATTTTTATCTGAAGGAAATTATGAATGCTGTTGACTGGATGGGGATTACCTTAGCAGGCATTGGCACTATAGGTAATGTAAGTTCTTCAAAATACATGAAAGTTAAATCGCCCTCACAGAGAATTGATCGTGTATTTTTCTCTTTTAGTGTTTATAATCTGTGCGAGATTCTGTATTTGCAGGAGTTGGTGCCGGAGGTGAGGAGCAAAAGGCTTCTGCTATATCTATTTTCCATCTACCATGGTTGGCAATTGTAGTCGCCATCTTGTTTGTAGGTACCTTATACTATGCATCATTTGATGTTTATGCACAACTATGAGTGTTGTTCCCAGACTGTTCATGTTACTAGAAACCAGCATTGCTAGATTTTATATTGTTAGTCAAGGGCATGTGTCTATATAATGCTTATGATAATCCAGATATAGTTGGATACTTGTATTTATGCACTCCTTTGAATAGGTACTACTGAATGGATGGCTACGCATCTACAGACGTAAACGCAAAGAACAGGAGTTGGTAAATTGATTTATGCTTTTCATATATCTATAGTGTTTGAGTATGGTGCCCTCCACCCATTCACATCTGCTTGTGGTACAGATGGAATATGACGTTGTTGAAGAAATTATATACGGCTTGGAATCTGGCATTTTGTTTGGGTATGATTCTCTCTAGTATAAGTTAATTTACTCCTTAACAGATAGGTTCATCTCTCTCATCTTTCAGTTTTAGGATGAAAATTATTACAAATTGTGCGTCTGTATGTGCACAAGGTTGAGTTTTAATAGTTTCCCGTGTTTTACGTTGTATTTGGCAGATTGTACGAGTTAGAGATGTGCATGCTAGTACAAGTCAATAATGTGTTTAGCATATCAATTCAGTGATGTGTACTTTATGTTACAGTAGGCAAAAGGCATCATACTTTCACATTCTATTAATTAGTTCTGTTCTTCTCTGAAACAGTTACGTTATTTTTGGAGAGAACTGAAGCAAATACTTTCTTTATGTTTACGTGCCTTTTTTCATCTGAAAAATCAATTTCATTATGTAGAGAGCAGAGGACCTTTTATTAGTAAAATCATGTAGCTGCTTCTGTTGTCAAATCATGCTTAAAATGATATGTGCACATCTTAATGCAGGATGGCATCTGTAATATCAAAGATGGGATTCGTATTCTTGGAGCAGGGTTTCCCCAGCATGCTGGTTCCTATATGCCTGATATTCAGCATATGTTGTAGTGGTACAGGGTTTTTTTACCAGGTATGTTAAACGTTTGTCTAAGTTCAGAGTTTCATATCCGCATGTTCACGTAAATTGAATGTCGGCCACATGAAATGCATTTATAGTTGGGAGTTTCACTAAAACACCCAAAATGGAGGTTGAAATTATAAAAAAACCCAACACCCAAAACACTTTATAAACACACCCAAAACTCATCATTACACACACTCAAAACTCATTTATAAACACACCCAAAAAGTTGACTTTGGAGTTGATTTTGGGTGTGTTTCTATGTTTAAATAGTGCTTGGGTTTTTTTATAAATACATGTCTAAGATTGGGTTTATTTATAAATTTGTATTTATTATAGTTTTGTAAGTTGGTTATTGTTGTTAGTGAGTTATTCCTTTTGAACAGACTTGGGGGTTAAAGCATGGGAGGGCAATTGTGGTGTCTACATGTGCTGCTGTGGCATCAATTGTGACTGGTGTGCTTGCTGGAATGCTTGCTTTGGGTGAAAGATTGCCTTCAGCCCCAACCGCTCGTCTTTCACTTGTGCTTGGATGGTAAATTAAGATACTGACTTATATTTTACGGATCGTTTTTAATAAAAGAAAGCTCTCTAAATCTTAGTTTTGGACCTGAGGATGTCCTTAAATCAAATAGTTTTAAGGTATGGTGTATGTGCCATGATCATCAGCTATCATTCTTCGTTTAGGAAACCTGAGTAGCACCTTCTTTAGATTTCTGTCTTCATTTTGATGTCGTGGGGTAAAAGTGGTCCAAACTTATTGGATGTCATGGGGTAGCAAGTATGCGGTCCAAAGTTACCATATGATATTGTTCTTCTCTTGGCATGCATCCATATTTCGTAGAATTCATATAGCTGTCCGCATTCTCAATTTACAACATTTATTTCCAGTGTTTGAAGTGCTTAATTGCATACAAGTCTTTTCTTGCGATAAAACTTCCATTTTTTTCTCTACTGCAGGCTATTTATAATTATTGGCGTGATTTTGCTTGTGAGCTCGACACGGCTGGTGCGAAACCTTCCTCGGCCTTTACGGCATTTTATCCATAGTGGTGTTGATAAGAACTTCAGCCAGAGAAAATCCGGGTCTATCCGCACTAGGGATTCGAGCCCAAGCACTGTTATTCACACAGCA